AACTACTTTTTTACGCGTGCCACACGTATTATCTATTAAAATGTTACAGCATAATGCATACATGCACCCACTTTCTGCCATGTTTACTAATTCGGTTATTTCAACGCCCGCAACCAAACCTCATCTTCCAGGAAATGCTGTCCTGGGTGCACCAGGTTCTGAACCTAATAAACAACATATCGAAGGAATTCAGTGAAGCTCATGTTGACTGCATTGCGATATTGGTCATCATTCTTCTCGTTATATTGGTACGTACAAGGCCGCTCTGTCTAACTGACTGTGGTCTTATATTATTGTTCGTACTGTTAATACCACATTTCACCGCATTTTCCCAACAGCAGGCAGAGTACAAGTGGAAATGTCATTTTGCCTTTGTTCCAGATTAATTTACGACACATCAGACAGCAGTTCCAGACGATGGTGGACATATTAACAGGAGGTGTGCCTCCATTGCAAGCGAAGGCAATACAGGGAACTTCGCTCGAAGTGGTAAGTGTGGAGAGCCCTTGCTGGCTATAATGTATTCTCTGTCTAACTTTTTCGTGTAATCCCAAATTTAGTCAAAATCAGTCCACACACACACAACTCAACCAGATGTAAAACTGTTCTATATTTTTCAACTATGATATAAACAATGAATTTAATTATGATTTTTACACTAGTAACTTTATAGTGACAGAATTATGAATGTTGTTTTTCTCTGGCGCTAGGAAACCATTAGGCGAAACAGACTCACATCAATACATATAGGACATAGAAGGGCAAATCAAGGAATTGAAGAAAGACAAGGAATGGAAATGAAGCCAATAAAGGAAGACAAAGGGGAAATCAAGGAAGTTAAGAAAGACAAGGGGAAATGAAGGCAATGAAGAAAGACAAAAAAAAGGGAAATGAAGGCACTGGAGGAAGAGAAAGAAAGGCAAATGAAGGCAATGAGGAAGAAGAACAGGAAGGCAACCAAAAAATAAACAAAAAAAAGACGAAGAAATGAAATTTGTCAGATACTAGAGAAAAAATGGGAGTTCGGTGGGACCACACATCAATTATTTATAGATTTCAAAAAAGCGTGTGACTCTGTGAATAGAGAAGTGTTATATAACATTCTTATTGAATTTGGTTTACCAAATAAGCTAGTGAGTCTAATAGAAATGTGCTTAAATGAAACCCGTAGCAAAATTTGAGAAGGTAAATATTTATCTGAGTCATTCTTCGCCACGAACTGACTGAAACAAGAAGATGCTTTGTCTCCCTTGCTCTTTAACTTTGCGTTAGAATATGCTCTCAGGAAAGTCCAAGGTAGGCAGGAGGGTTTGCAATTGAATGGGACACATCAGCTATTGGCATATGCTGATGCTGTTAATTATTGGGGGACGATATAAATACAATAAAGAGGAACGCAGAAGTTTTACTAGAGGCTGGTAGACAAGTGGGGCTGGAAGTAAATTCAGAAAAAACTAAGTACATGTTAGTATCTCGTCATCAGAAGACAGGCGAGCAAAATTATCTTAGGGTGGCTAATAAATCCTTTGAAAGGGTTACAAAGTCCAAATATTTGGGAACAACAATAACAAATCAAAATGATACTTGTGAGGAAGTTAGGAGGAGACTAAATTCCGGAAATGCTTGCTACTTCTCAGTCCAAAATATTTTGTCTTCCCGTCTGATTTCTAAGAACCTGAAAATGAAAGTATACAAAACAATAATCTTGCCTGTTGTTTTGTATGGGTGCAAAACATGGTCTCTCACTCAGAGGGAGAAACACAGATTGCAG